CAGTAGAATCTACAGTAGAGTTTATAGTAGAGTCTACAGTAGAATCTACAGTAGAGTCTACAGTAGAATCTACAGTAGAGTTTATAGTAGAGTCTCCAGTAGAGTCTACAGTAGAATTACAGTGGAAACAGGTTTTTGTTCAGTTCTTCGTTTCATCTGATTCCACATGAATTATTAAGGTTGGTTTAGAACATGCTCTGAAACAACTGTCCAAAGAAGAACCAGGAAGTGTTTCATAACAGGGACCGAATGGCAGGAATGAAGCGATATACATAATGAACTCTGCAGTGAACAAGAGCAACAGTGACTAAAGGAGAATCAGCACAGGTGAAGGGAAGTGGGCGGGCCCCGAGGTAAACTTTCCTCTACATCCAGGCGAAAGCCAGAGTGAAGTACACTGCTGACTGACACGTGCCCTCGTACCAAATACCACAGCTCTGCTAGAGGACTCATTAAAGGGTCACTTTAGAAGAACTGGAGCTGACAGCAGGCGCACATTAATGATTTAGCCCAAAAATGACTAAAACAATCAGGCTTTATGTATGTTTTCACCCCCGTGGTGATATTCTGTCATTCTGTCAATAGCTTTTGGACGACTCGACGCTGGATTCTAAACTGAAAGCTGGGAAACTTGAACTTACCCGAGTGAATGGCAGAGATCAATATACACATTCATGATGATGGACAACAGCAATGTCTGTGGACGAGAACGCCAACAGCATATTAGGGTTATTATAGTTAAAGTAAACTAAAACTAGGTGTGAAAAGCACTCTGCTGAATGTGAATACAAACAGCACCTATAACTAATACGAACCCCAACAACAGTATAAAGCTAGCTGGACCGGTACATTTGGTAAGTGGGGCTTTTCTACATGATCAATGCACTGATGCACGCACACATAAAGAATATCAGCTGTTATCTGTTCTAACACTGTTATTTCATTACTATGGATTTTTTTTAATCCACGGAACTGCAATAAAATGTTTCAGTAACTCTGGATAATTGAAACATTTTAACGCCTTGTGTTTTTATTGCTATTTTGTAACAAAGGATATTTTTATACCATAAAACATTTTGTATTTCAATTTCAATTCTAGGAGGGACATGAGCTCATCATGTCTCACGTTCCTGACCACTCAAAGATCACGCGCTGACCACACAGCTACTATTACAACTTATTATAAACAGTTCTTTGCTCTGTGTCAAAGTCGAAATGCGCTCATAGTAAAGCAGAACCTTTTGGATGCTGTTTCCGTTGAACAGAACCAAATTAATGTGGATTATAGATGAAACTTTCAGTCCACATCGCCTCTGCTCAACGAGTCCGAGCTAGCAGCAGGTAGCTAGCTAAGCTGTCATCCATTAGCCTCGCTCAGCCTGCTAACTAGAGTTTGACTGCAGGTGATGAATGTGACATTTTACTGATGTTTGTTAGACTGCTAACAGTTCGCTTGGTGAGGGCTCGCGCGCTCCTACCTGTCACCTCTGAAAAACACCCTCTCCTGAACAGTGCGCGTGCACTCTCCGGACTTTTGGGGGCGCGGTTTAACCCCGAGTCACGATGACGGTGGCAGCACTGAGCAGGCTGACCGACTGATGACATGGTTACGGTTCAGTAGAAAACCATCACCCAGCGGTTCCTGTCAGCTCCTCCACCTACGACCTGCACACTGTAGTCATCATCACACGTGTGTGTGTGTGTGTGTGTGTGTGTACACACACATACATATTTAAAAGGGACAGTGCAGCTTAACATAGTCCAAGTACAAACATGAAAGTAACGCACGTACGTTTATAGCTATTGCTAATTGTCAATAACTGTGCCTTGTTGGGCTTACAATCAAAATAGATACATTTTACAATAAAACACATTTTCATAAAACCAAATTACATCATAAATGCAATTACATTAATTAATAGACAATTAAAATTAAATTAAAATCCTTAGTTGAAATGACTACATTTCCCTTTAACCACACTTTAAGCTTCAATGTAAAGGATCTGATGTCTGTAATCAATTCGATTTTGGTTGGAAGTGTTCCACAGATGGCAAGCTGACTGACCGAATGCAGATCTGCGATATGACATCTTGCAGTTGCCGTTCACCTTACTCCTAGTAATACGATTACTATCTTGTCTCTGGATGTTTCTATTGAGACACTCTGGGGCCATCCTATTTATACATTTAAGAAAACACAAATGATTAAAACTCTTAAAACTAAGTAGTAGCAATATTTCTTTAAAATGTGACAATGATGCCACTGAACAGATTTTTTATCCATTATTTTTAAAGATATAAGGACACCACAGGCTGACTGGTGCTGCTTGGGTCCAAACGGTCATACAATATGAAAAATGAGAGAATATCATAGAACGCATAAACATCTGAGCTGCTGAAGTGGCTATAAATTGCCAAATTAACTTAAAACAACTCAGATCAGCCTTGACCGTCTTAGAAATCTTTTTTTACATGCTTGTCAAATTTAAGATCCGAATCTAAAATTATTCTAAATATTCTAAAAACGTAGATCTATCTCATATATAGATATATCTATATATGAGATAGATCTATCTATCAAAAAATCCGGTCTGTTTCTTCCAGTCTTCCCACAATGCTCTTCTTCTTCTCCATCAAACTTTTCAACAGCCAGAAATCAAACATTAGTAATGGAGGCATGTTTATTAAGAGACAGAAACACTCGTTACAGGTTCACAGGCTGCACACTCGACCATGGTCATAGAAAACATTCAGCATCTAGTTCCTCACAGGCTGTTTTAGACTAGCAGCAATGCCAAGCTGGCTTTGGGTTTATCCAGGTGACTTCAGGGCTAATGGTGGGTTTGTTGTTCTATGAAGGCGCTTCACTTCATCGAGGTAACCTATGCTGTGAAACTCCTGCAGGTATCACTGAAAACAGTGACACCACACCTGGTCCCCTGTGTGCAGACAGTCCACAGTGTCGTGAGTAATGGATTTTTATAAGCAATAACATATGATCCAAAGACACCTGTGCTCACCTTAGGGTGAAATTGTGTTTTTCTATTGAATCTTTACTGTCAAATCCTTAAACAGCACCAAGTCTGCAGCTAAAAGCAGAAAAAGTAAAACTGTTCCAAGTGTCTGATGAGCTGGATTTGAGTAGGCGAGTCTTTGGAGCACAGAACTGCAGTGTTGACTCCACCACAGGCTGAAGGCCAGCTGCTCTTCCCAGTGTGCATGTGACTGGGCTCGCTCTTAGTAGGGCTTGCCTCCCAGTGAAGTAAGCATCTCCAGCCTCTCTGCAGCAGTGGGCATGTCAGGTTTCACACCATCTCTTCTCCTCTGCACCATGATGTTGTGCTGCAAGACAAAACAGACCAGCCAAAGAAAGCACATCAGATAATTAGCAGAACAGCACCTGCTAATAATGACGGCTGAATAAATAGCACGACACCTTCTAACCAAGTCAGTGTGACTGCTCAAGTCTCGCTCGTAAAGGTCACAGTGGGTCTGAGGAAATAACCTCGATGACATCACAGTGACATCATGGAGGGCTTTGAGTGCCAAACTGAAATGATTACATCATCAATTCAGCTGGTTTCAGAATTATTAACTGATGCATTTAATCAATTCATTACGTGTGTAAGACAGGTCCATCCTATCGCCAGGTATGATGAACAGGTATCCCACAATGCATTTCAAATCACAAGTGGCAGTGCTGCTCTAAACTGTAAGCAACAGGGTGGCTTTAAAAAAGAAATCACTTCCTGATTCAAACAGATTTCACTTTGATTAAAGCTGGATCAGTACATCGCTTTTTAAAGACGGCAGAAACTCAGCCTAAAGCTCACAAAACTATTTCAACAACCAGCAAACGGCTAAAACTGCAAATGACAGCAGGCACACGGCTTCAACACAAACATCAGTGAACCGCCTCAGGCTGGGCCGCAGCGTCAGCTCGTACTCACAACGCTCCTCAAACCCAGCGCTGAAAATGACAGACTGAAACAAGTACAGCACACGTACAACCATCAGAGCTCCACCTGTGACAGGCGGAGGGGGTGTTGTGTCCCACTTTATAAGGTGCGGTGCAGCACAGCTCCAAACACTTCAGCAAATATCCTCCAGCTTTACAAACTGACCACAGGTTTACGTTTAGATCGGCGCTCACAGCCCTCTGTACCACAAGAGCACACAGTTACCATACCTGTGTGAAACACTTGTGCTGTGGAGTCTGACGTGTGACAGGAGGCTGAAGTTAATTACATTATAGTAATAATAATAAGAAGAATGTGTTAGTCCCTGTAGGGAAATGACTCCTCTGCATTTAACCCATTCACCCAGTGAAGCAGTGGGCAGCCACCAGTGCAGCACCTGGGGAGCAGCGTGTGCAGACGGTACCTTGCTCAGGGGTACCTCAGGGTAGCCGTTCAGTGGATTGGAACCCCCGACCTTCTGATCAAGGGGCCACCACTTACCTAGTGAGCTAGCCCTGCTTGTTGATGTGAGCCAATACTAAGAGAACCCCCGTTTGTTGGCCTTTTCTTTGCACACACACACACACACACACCTGGTGATGTGTGACCCAGATGTAAACAGATTGGTCATGTGACCACTGCCGTGTGACACAGTAATGATAAACACTTCCACAGTTACAACAGCACGGCTTTGCTGTGACAGTATTCTGAAGAGTTCACTATCGCGAGCAGGCAGGTTGATCCTTGACTCACACGTGGAGCTGAAACAACAGCAGGCTCCTTTCAGTGCTTACATTTGACTGATGCCATTTCGCTCTGGCTCCATGGTGTACTGGTTTACAGGTTAGCCTACTGAAAGATTCCCAGTTGATCCCAGACACACAAATCCCTCTATGGTCATGTCCATAAGAGCAACTGAGAAATGTGCTGATGTGACACGAGATACGACTGCACCACAATAGCGGTCACTGATCATAGCGCTTATGAAAAGACTAAGACGCCCTGCATACTGTTCGCTGCACTCAGTGACCAAACAGCCATTTAGATCCTTACAAACAGAATTGTGGCGATATAATTATGAGGGTATACTGACCCTAAAAGTGCAGGATGTCCATTTTATTTGTAGATATGAGCACTTCATGAAGGAGCGTGTTAACCCCCATCAGCACCCACTCAGATCAACTCGCCGAGGCTCGCCACGACTCCACTGACTGCTTTTTCATTACAACCGAGTACCACCTGACCTGTGTCGTTATTGTCATGGCGACACAACAGCACCCCGTGATATAATTAGTATGTAATACGCTACAACAAAGGCGGACCTTGAGCCAATGATACACCCGCTGCTCGGCCTGTAGCTTTGCGTCAGACTCGGGGACCATGGCGATGCCAGGTTTAAAAAATGTCAGTTTTGGGTTTGTGAAGGAGACGCTGTGATGACTCATCGAGTGACGTCCCTGCCCAGCCAATCGGAGGCCTGCCGTCTGCTGGTGTCACATTTTGGGCTCACCTTGGATTGCTTGGAACCCCGGCCGAGTAGGTACTGAAAAAAGGACCTGGTAGCAGGTACTCTGACCTAATGAAACTGTACCGAACTGTGGCCTGGTCTCTGTGCCGGGGGTCCGAGTCTGTCTGAGGGATTCCCTTTCTCCGTTTGTTCCAGGACAAAGCTCTGTTCTCTACTCTTTCATGTCTTTACTGAACTTGGCGATGTTTCCGTCGTGTTTACAGTGTAAAGTAGCTTTTCTCACTCACTGCAGCCTGCATGCTTCTGCTCAGTGCTGCTGAGTCACGTGACCAGAGGACGGCTAATCACAGCCTGCAGGAGAGGAGGTGTTTGCACAGACACGCCAGCTTTCTGAAGGGCGGGAGCCGAACTTAGGACAGAAACAAACTAAAGCATCGAGTCCATCCTGTTAGTGTCGATCAGATACCAAAACCACTGATACTGCTGGCTAACATGTGTTGCTCATTACTTGTGGTGCCTTGAGCATCCAGTGGGTGTCACCACTGCAGCATCAAGGATGAAGATCTTTCAAGATCTTTGCCAACAACAAATCGAAACATGAAAACATTACACTCACCCAGTATTTCCTACAGTTCTTATATCTCTGGAAGTAGGTGGAGCACATGCTTTTATCATAGTTGTAGGCATTCAGACACTTCTGGGAGTCATCGCTCTCCTGAGAAAAGGCGTATTTCAAAGCACAGGATTAGAAAGCCGCAACACTCCTGTGCCAGCAGCAGGCACACAGCCGACACAGCGCAGCACGTGACAGACGGCGAGCTTACTTCGATGCAGGGGTTAATGTCCTGGTTCCGAACTTTCCGTGCATTTTGATCCATCTGAATCTGGACGGATGGAAAGAAACAGGCTAGTTTTTCTCAGAAGCATTTACCTCGTCTCTTTGTGACTCCAGGCAGCATTTTAACATGAACCCATAGACTAGACAGAAAATACACACATGGTCAATGTCATGTCCCCACTGCTTAATTATGTGACTGTTTTCAGTGTCATCGTTGTAGCTTTTTTTAACTACATGTCACAATTTCCTATCTATACAACCAGAAGTGAGCGGCTGGCTTCCCTGTTTGGATCCATCATCTGTGTCCACTAGAATTAGTTAACTGAACTGAAATAATGAGAACAGTGACTGCACAGGAAGGCAGACGCCTACATACCTGCCTCCTTTTGCCCCACTCAAAGGCCGTTTTTTCCTTTTTCAGCGGCAGACATTGTGATGTATGCTGGACGTTTGTCTTGCAGTGAACCAGGCATTTCAGAGGTACTATACCAACACTGGACTGTTATTGTGGGCAACATTTAAAGATCAATACACATTAGCTCACTTTCAGTTGTTACATTTTGCACATGACACGTGGTTGTGGTTATTTACTATTGTGCACCAAGAATTCATTCCAGTGCATTTTACTGTGATACACACCCCAAAATGTTTATACTGTGAAGCTCGAGTTTGATGAAACGCATCATTATTTATGCCACAGGTCGATTTACAACTTGAGGATATCAAAGATTAAGTTGTGATCAGTTTGGAGACTTTTATATCATGTTTACAGTTTTTCTTAGGATTAAACAAATGAGTGAAATAAAAAAATGTTTGTAGTTTGAAATACATGCCGAATTAAAGGGCAGTTCTTTCACACACTGTTTTAATGATTCCTGGAGATCGGAAGCGTTAAAACGAGCACTTGTTATTTAATTAGCAGATTTCCTAACGACGGTGGGTGCAGCTGAGCGTCCTCCCCCAGTACGTTTCTGTATCAAGCGAAAGCTTCTTTAATGTCTCCAAACGGTGCAGAAACTTTGCAGCAGCTGAATGTGAGTGGAATACTCACCATTACCTGAATGTTACAACGTGCCTTCTAGAACCCGGCGTTAGCCTAGCGAGCTGTGCAAGCAGCTAACGCCCACTGCAGTGAAGACGAGCCGGCTTTAGCAAACACACAACCAGGCTAGACTCCGAGCAACACCAAGCTAACTGATAACGCAACCTTCTGTCACCTTACCGCCGCCTCTGGTTACTGCACCGGCGCACCGCGACGTCACCGAGGACTGACGTCAATATGAGCCAATAGACGCTGTAAAAACCTGCAACGTAGAAAGATAATCCAGCGAGCCAATAGGATTCCGACCCTAACTGTTAGGTTTCGTATCCTTGCAAAACAGGGGCGAAAAGAAGTTTCGGGGATTAACGGCGAGTCCAGTTTTTGAGTTTTATTTACAGACAATGTAAGCGACACTAAAGTGAAAACGACAGCGCCTTTCACAAATCAAAAAGCGCCTTGTCGGAACTTTAAATGGGTGTGACTAACTCCAAGTTCGGTTGCATCGCAGCGCATACACAATGGCTGCTCGAAAGAGGAGAAAGCAAACAATTTTCAGGCCCGCCGCGTCTCGCAAAAAATATGAGAAAAAAATTATTAAAAATTCGGAAAATAGTTGAAAGTGAAGAAAAACTCAACAGAAAGGATGATAAAGCGTCCGGGGTAAGTCTGGTGCAAAATAAGGAAACGGTTACTCAGTTCTTCAATTAAAATATCGGGGTTATTTAAATTATGAGCGGGGTGAGCTGGGGAAAAAGTTAGTGTTAATCAGTACCCAGCTTTGGACCACAGAGAAAACCAAGGCAGGGCACAAGGACCGAGAAATGTCAAATCAGCGGTGTCACTGCTGATATTAGTGTGACGGTGCGTGTTCACGAATATTAAAGGTCCCACGAAGCGGTGGTGTGAAGGATACTTGAGGAAAGTTGAACACTTGGTTTATTTTTCTAATATAATAACAATGGCAGTGCCGTGAGCGCCGCCACGAACAGGCGCGCTGAGGAATAATGTTCGTTTTCCTCCGCGCGGACTTGACTTTAGCGCACGCAGTGTCAACATTCGTGTCGGTTCAAGCATCTCTTCGCAAAACCGTAGCGGCGACACGAGCGTGCAGCGGCCGCACTGACATTTTGTCTGCGGCCGTGTACTGTATGGCGTTTCCCCTCCGCGCTATTGATCAGTGTGACACAGAAGCTCGCGTCCCCAAACAAGCGGCTCCGTTTCTTGTCGATAAAGTAGAAAATGGAGGGAGAAGTAATGCGGCAGCGCCGAGCGACCCAGCATAGTGTCTTTAAAGTTACCGTGGCTCAGTGTGATTTGTGTGGCAGGTTCACACTTCGTGGGCTGTTAATGAAATGTGTGCCTGTCGCTGTTCCGCCGTGCACAGCCGGTCATATGTCAGGCTACGGTGCCTTAAACGTGAAGCTTCCACAGACTTGTTCGGTGCTGTCCAATCAGCAGCCAGTCTGTCTGTACCTGTCTCACATACATTAAAGCGGAGTCTGCGTGAACGCTTCTGCGACGCTTGCTTTGAACCCGCCCGTGGTTCCGATGTGCTGCTTAAAGAGACTGCAGAGACACAGCTGTCCAACCCGGTTCATCAGATTAGGAACTGATCAAAGTTTAGGGAAATTCTGAGAATTTAAATGCGGGTATAACCGGATCCTAAATCAGCCAAAAAGTAACTTTCTGCTTGTTTCTGTACAATTCACCAAGTTTAAAGCGGTTTATTCTTTCTGATCAGACGGAAACGATTTCATTTGTTTTTCTTTTACAGATGAAGAGTTCTTTGTTGGAATGAGACACATTTAGTTTCCTTTTGCTTCGAAGAATAAAGATTATTCCAAGAGTATAAATTCATTCAGACCTTCAGAGATTAAAGCAAAGAGCTTACACCATCTATCCACACTTTCACTAAAACATGAATCAATGCTTCAGTTTTACCAAACAGGCACAAGTAGTGACCGTAGTAACAATTAATCATGTTGCTAAAGAATACTGATACTAAGTAGATACATTTGTAACTTCTCTAAAATAAACAGTTGTACATAAAAAATGTCCTTTTTTTCCCCTTTTTTGATGTTTTCTTATGGTTTTTGTTTTTTTTGTAAACATTAAAAGTTCTTCTGCTAATTCTTAATTATTACAAAATAACCGAGCATTTCCTGTGTAGTTATGTGGAATCATTTAGTGAATGTTTTCAGCTCATAAGTTAAACAAAATTCTAAATGTCTTTAATTATAGAGGTATCAGCCCCAAACCATCATCCGGTGCAAGGAGTGATGCAGTGTCTTTATTCATCAGTGTTTTTATTGTCAAGGTTTCATGGTGCTGCGTGAACTACTTTGCAGATCAGGCAAAATTTAATTTGACATAAAATAATTGTATTTTTTCTTTGGTCAAAAATGGATGAAAATGCAAGATGTGATCTGTTTGTGTGCACTGAACAACTCTTCTCTTTGTCTGTGTTTGAAAACTAATTTAGAATAGAATTTGAATAGAATGTCCAACAGAATAGTTTTTATTTTTAATAGTTTGAAATACACAGTTAAAGATTTCACACTAAGGAGATTTTATTTCTTTTTTGTAGATTCCAGCAAGTTGGTTAACTGGGGAAAGTAATGGTGTGTGAGATTGTGTAATTAGAAAGAGAAGGGCTGTCGGTGTTGGCTACTGATCCTGAAGGATTCAGTGCACCTCACCGCATCAGCAGCAGGACAGCTTCATGTACAGGGCTTAGCTGGTGGACCCTGCACACAGAAATAAGACCTTTCTCTGTTTAAAGAAATGTAAGCAAATAAACTAAAATAACCACCTCTTTGTTTTATGTTACATTCTTTTAAATGACAAAGTACACATGCATGTGTGTCACGTTATTAGTATTATTAGATCGGTCTATATATATTTCTGTAAGGTTGGATAAGACCATGTTCCCTGTGTGTTACATCACCTGTGATTAAATCGAAATGTTGGCCCATTTTTGTCTAATGTAGGATTTCAGCTGCTGCTCGCTTCAGACGCTGTTGATATGATTTAAATACCTGGACTGCAGGGAGACAAGTCTGACAGACGGTTCAGTTCGATTATCTTGGTATAACAAACAAAGCTTTCCCTGAAAAAGACGTGTATGAAAGTTTCTCTTGCCATGTCACTAATTCCCCTTCACATCATGACTGCTAAACTCTGCACTAGTTAAAAAGACCAATGGTCTGACTCCTCTTTAGCCCGTAGGACACAAAAGAATTAAAAATACAGATGAGTCAAACCATGAGACACTTTTCCACTTTGCCAGGCTTCAGGTCCACTGCTTGTTTTTTTCCAAATAAAACAATTATTAGATCCAATTATAGTTAAATTATTGATCACAGCTCAGCCATCTGGTGCCACTGTGGCCAATGAAAGGGCTGCCCACTGGGGTGGTTCTTTTCTACATGACCTACAAAAATATTTAAATAAATGATTTTGTGGTCAGAGGTTTCTGTGCACTTACAAAGACATGATTGTACAGCACACATCTTTGATGGCTTTAACAAGCAAGAACTGAGTGCACACGCTTGAATTTGTTTTGGATTTGCATCCCTGCTGATGGGTCGACAGAACCCATCAGGCCCAGAACTTGATGTTAGTGATGGAGTGACAGGTCGTGTCCCTTTGCCAGCATAAAGGACTCGACTGACCAGTACTGTCCAAGGAGCTCAGTCAACATCTAAGGAGAAGAATTACACGTGTTGGGAAGGTCTCTTGGAGCCATATCTAAACAGCTGCATATTCCTAAATCTTCACCATTCTAACAATATTATATCAGTGCAAATTATTCTGTATGTTGTCTGGAAGAAGACCCCAACTACCACTTTAAGATGAGAGGAAATTGGTTGGGAAGTTCAGGAAGAACACAGGAACCACCAACCACCAAACCTGCCATGAACTGGAAACTGATGGAACTCCATGGCAACAAAAAGAAGCTTGTGCTCCAAAATCACCGTCTTCAGCCCGAGTTGAAATTTCCAGTTCCCCATATGGACAAGCCAAATGGGGTATTTGGCCGCGACGATGACGTATGTTTGGAGAAGTAAGGCTTTCAAACCCAAGAACACTGAGCTCATACGATGGAATAATAAAGACAGATTTTCAGCTTCACCTCAAACCAGCAGCTTGGAGACGATTGGCTCATCAGAATTTCTTTTAGAATAGCTAAAGTGGGCCAACACTCACCTTCTGGGATGGCTTTCCCTAACATCTACCTCAACCTTAGTGAAAATATTTGCACTATACATAAAAGTACGGTTTGGACATGGAAACCACTTATTTTAAATGAACCAATTATCACGAGTAGTCCATTGTATACATTTGAGACGGTATGTAAGACTTTCGCGCAAATCCAAAAGAAATTCAATTTGCACCCATGTTTTCAGTTCAGAAGGGGCTACCAATCTAAACTGGTCATGGTTTCTGATTCGGGGGACAGGAAGAGGGTCCAATTATCCAGTTGAGGGTTCCTGGGGCCTGGAGTCTATTCCAGCTGCCATAGGGTGAGAGCTGGGTGCATCTTTCACCAGTATTTTGCAGGATGAGTGTGATGTGCTTATTAGTCACCAGTTTGACATCATTTGCAGGAGTTATCCCGTTTCTATGTTGATGTATTTTCACTGCAGGTCGTTATTGGCGCTCCTGCCGCGTTACAGCCTTGTCCTATACTGAAGCTCTGACGATATTTCTGCCCTTTCTCTCCCTCTCTCACAGACCCCTGTGTCCAGGCAGTGCTGAACACATAAAACTGGACAGAATAATCACATCAGTACTAGTCCAGCACCGTGCATCGGTCCATGTAGCTGGTCAGCCTTAGGGTGCCATGGCCACGGGAACCCCGGGCCACCGTGACCAAGTCCTGGACAAAGCCAAGCTTGCAGTACCTCTGGGGAGGCGCAAGAGAGCAGAAGGCAAGCTGAAGAAGAATTTCCCTTGTCAGGAGTGTCAGAAGGCTTTCAACAGTCTGGAGAAGTTGAAGGTGCACTCATACTCTCACACAGGAGAAAGACCCTACCGCTGCTCCCACCCTGAATGCACCAAGGCTTTCGTCTCCAAATACAAGCTGCTACGGTACAGACAAGCAGCAGTACATAACAGGCTGCAACATGTTGCTTTCTCTTTGCACTTTTGGTAACGTAATGTTGTGTAGTGGTCAGATTGATGTGTTGAATTCTAGTTTGTTGTGTTTATGTGTAAAGCATGCCTACTTTAAACATGATTGCAACAATTGTGAGTGCTCATAGAATGTGTCTGTGTTCCAAGGCATATGGCAACTCACTCGCCAGAAAAAAACCACAAGTGTTCATACTGTGAGAAAATGTTCCACCGTAAGGATCACTTAAAGAATCACCTACATACTCACGATCCACACAAGGAGGCATTCACTTGTCAAGAGTGTGGCAAGAGCTACAACACGAAGCTGGGTTTCAAACGCCACCTTGCCCTCCATGCTGCCAACAGTGGAGACCTCACCTGCCAAGTGTGCCTGCAGCCATTCCCCAGCACTGGGGTTCTTCTGGAACACCTCAAAACACATGCTGGCAAGTCCTCCGGTGGGACCAAGGAGAAAAAACATCGTTGCGAGCATTGCGAGCGGCGGTTTTACACCCGTAAAGACGTGCGACGGCACATGGTAGTGCACACCGGACGCAAAGACTTCCTCTGTCAGTACTGCGCCCAGCGTTTTGGAAGGAAGGACCATCTGACGCGTCACATGAAAAAGAGCCACGCTCGGGAACTGCTGAGGGTTAAAACTGAGCCAGGCGATTCGCTGGAGCCCATCGTCTACGACTTGGCGTCTGGGAGCGTAAAGGGGGAGCTCCCGGGAATGCTGACTCCAAGACTGCACCAGCTGAACGTGTACACAGGCCCCGTCCTCGACACCGAGCCCTTCTCCAGTCCCACACATCCCTTTTCTTTAAAGTACCCACTGGGCTCCAACTTTACCTCATACGCCGTGTCCTCACAGGAGCGGGAGCAGAATCTTAAGGGAGACCTGGAGACCTACCTGATGGAGCTGCAGAGCAGTATGCCATCCTCTGCCTCTGAAGCCCAAGAAGCCCAACTCTCCTCCTCCAAACTTGAGTTGGTTCCTGAAGTGGGTGTGCTGGAGGAAGCCAATGAGGAGATGTCCCTGTCCAAAATGTCCACATCAGTAGCAGCACCTGCAGGTGACTCTTTGGCCTTATCGTCCTCTCTAATGGATTTTTCACAGCTTTTCAACTTCCTGCCGCTCAACGGGCCTCCGTACAATCAGGTAGGGGGCAGTGGGGGGCAGGGTGTCACTTTTCTACCCAATGAAGAGCCTGCATCTCTAGTTCAGCTGCCCTCTCAGGCTGCCACGGGCTCAGAGGCTGCTGAGAGTCCACTTCAGGGGCTCTCCTCCTCCTTCATATCCAACCTGAGCACTCCAACCACACTGCCCCGCTTCCACCAAGCTTTTCAGTGACCCCAGTACATCCGGCACATGCCACTCACAAACACTGACACACATGTAGAGCTGCATGCCCATATTAAACGCCATACAAGATGCAAGTGACTGAAGAAATTGGCACATCTGTCCATTCATGATACCAGCAGACACTAACCTGACAGGAGACACAGCACTGACAGCAGCACACTCGCACCACACAGCCAGGCCAGCTTTCTGATGATGAGGGTTTGTTTTGGGCCAAATGTAAGTTATTCTCTTTTAGAGTCTTGTTTTTTTTGCCTCGGGCAGTTTAAAAAAGAAATGAATAAAATCCTGATCTGTCCGTGATTACAGAGACTTCAGATGCATGCTGGTTACCACGTGAAGCAGCCGTGCTCAGACTCAAACCATTCTCTCTGTAGCTCATTAATAAGCTTGATGCAAACATTAAAGGGCTGCTTTGCATAACAGCATGAACAGAGCTGACACTGAGATGATTCACATGGATAAGTGTTACGACTCAGACACTTGATTGACTTTGTTATACATGCGTACAGTTCTTCATATAGCACTTTGGATTTCTGGTCTTCAAAGATCGTTATATGTGATAAGATTTAAAGAGCATCCGTAGTTTTGAGGGTTTCTGTTTAGGAGCCAAAGTATAACAGGAGGTTTTTGGGAGCCATGATGGGTCGTTTATTTCTAATTAAAGTAGAACTGAACTTTTCTTTTTTGACTGTACTCGAGTGAGCAGCCAGGTGCTTTACTGTGTCATACATTTGCACTGTCAGTAGTAAGACCATGTGCTCAGCGCGTGGGATTGCCCAGTTTCAGCCATAGGCAGGATAAAACATGGACTCCAGGTCTGAAACCTGAAGCCAGTGCAGAAGTGCCTTAAACCTGCATCTTAAATGACCAACAGATGGTGAGAGCTGTGTTTGCAGTAACGTCCTCTGAGCTCTTGATCTCTGCTCTCTTTCAAAAAACTAGCTTTGTGTTTGGTGAACTTCTGTTTCTATGATCTGGCATCACTGTGTGATGTTTGTCCTGACAGGTGCCATAGAAATAAACTGTAACTGTGTTCTGGTCCTATAGACGTGGAGACCCTGAATCTCTGTCACGTGACATCTGTAAAGACTTCCTGCTGGGTTTTATATGCTCAGTTACTCATTTCAGGTTGCATTGAATTAAAATATGTCTTACTGGAGCACAGTTTGCTCGCAGAGCTCAGACAGGAAGTTGACAGAACAGTACAAACATGTTGTTGATGGATCCATTAAAGTGCTGGTTCATTCACACTATTATACACAAAGTTACTGAGCAGCAGTATTACAGTTGTCCACCAAAGTTTCCATTAACTGTATCATTCAGTGTTGCCTGCAGTTCACAGCAGTACCTCCTTCTTCTTTTTAAAGCAAACATTTCTTTCTCACAGTTTCAGAGTAAATTAGCCAGTGTGCCTCTGGCTGCTGAAAGCACATCCATCAGTTTCTTTGCATCGTAAGTGTTATCAGCTGTTCTACTGACACCAAATTCATCATCAGTCAGCTTCACTCATCACGTCACTGCTACGAAGCTCTGTAGGCGCATCTAGAATAACTGGGAATGAACCCTCATAGCCTGCTCAGTGTTTGGAAGTCGGGCCTGTGGACTTACCAGAGTTTCTGCATTGGTTACCTGTAATCTGTGGTCTGATCACAGTTTCCACACTGACAGTCCAGTAACACCAGAAAGTGAATTTTGGATGAGTTATCAGAAAATGACCAACAGTGACACAGTCCCATCCACGTGTCGCCCACCCTCTCTGTCAGGGTCTGTGCTGCTGAGTTGGGCTCAAAAACAGACTATTGAGTGGTAGAAAAATAGTTTCACAATTGGTCATAGTGACAGTGGTACCCCAGTGGAGCTTCCTGGATGCTGCCGCTGTCCCTTCAGTTGCTACTGTAGTTCCTGTTGTCTTTTGCACAGACTAACCTGACTCTAGGCTGTGAAGTTTAAGTGACCCATGTTTCCTCGGTATCTGGTATCTAAGACCTGAGGAGGCAAAACGGCCCTAAACTGTGATAATGTGTCATAAAGTATCTTCAGCTGCTTGCTTCTTTCAGGGGCTGCCACAGCAGATGGACCCACATGTTTCATTTGGCACTAATGTCACACTGCACCCACATTTATCTGGGACGGCCACTGTGCAAGGTTGGACCACTGGGTTTCTCCCAGTCTCAAACCAGTTTCATGTGTAGGTGAACATGTTAAGCCCTACAACATGACTGATTGATGATCATGACATACAGAGAGATCAGACCACATGTTGGGTATTCAACACAGAAATGCTGGGAGTTTCAAATGTTACCATTGATGAACCATCAAACTGCAGGCATCACTTCTGTTTTTCCCTTTGACTGACGTTCATATCTTACGAATAATAAGGTCCAATTCAGTCATTTAAAATGTTAACCAAGCAAACAGGCTTTGTGATCTCTGAACAAAGAGCTAAACACACTGCTGATACAACTGTGACATGAAGGCTTTTTGGTTTTTACTGGTTACTTTGTCACATCCTGGCTGTCGTTCCATTTTTTAAAAGGCTGTTGAGCATTTTCTTAAGTTGTGAAGTGTGACTTGAAGGGAACGTTTCAGTGTTGTGCAAACCCAGCATCAACTACAGCTGACAAATAGATCAGTTTGATGGTCAGACACTAGTCGTACATTAGTCTCTGCTGACTACATCTATGAAGATCTGAGCACTAAAACAACATCCCGGGAGACGTAGCTGTGTGACAGTGTGTGAAAATAACTGAAATACTGTTTATAAGGAAACATCTTACTGCAGTGCTTAATTGGTCTTTACAGATGAAACCACTTCTTTGACATTTAGTCCTAAAACCTGCCTCTGAGGTGAAAAGCTGTGTGCAGCATGTTAGACTGAAACAGTTCTGCTCCTGTATGATCGTTCAAATGAAAGGATTCACAGCTCTGGTCCTTGACGTCACAGATCGTCACAGTTCATCCACACAGTGCTTTTCATTTATGTAGAAACCTCAAATCCTGGACAAAGAAACTCAAATTGGTAGATGTTAATACATGGAGTGTTTTTGGATCTTTAATTATAACGATTTTGAATTGTTTTTTATTGAAATGTGGTTTCTTTAAATTCTTTGATCAAAAGGATGACTTCTCACAGAGCGGGCTGATGTGGCTGATGCTCGGTCAGAAGCAGCAGGCAGTGAGTGGGAGCTCCACTCTGCCTCAGCTCCAGGTGCCTAAATCGGCTGGTTCTCGTGACATGGTTCAGGATAGCATCAGATCTCAGCTGAACAACAAGTGTTCCAGTCATAAAAATCAGACACCGCTGATGCATCGTCGTCCATGTTAGCTGTTGGTTCTCTTGACCTTTGGAGTGAAAGATGCTTAACCTCCTGGGACCTGCATCCACATATGTGGGCATCACATTTTGGGTTATTTAGACCAAAATACTCAATTTTGCTCTACAAGGGCCTGATATCCTTTTACGAGGACATTATGCTGCTACTGTTCTATCAAAATGTTAAATGAATATCCTGATGTGTGGCTCTTATTTTTCTTAAAAACAAAAATAAGGTAAAAAAAAAAAATCTGGTAATTCTTTGTTTTTACATTCATTGGGTCCCAATCAGCCCAAATATCAAAGAGAAATTAAAAATGCTGCTGTGAAGAGTTTGGATCTTAGGAGGTTAAAGATCTTGACAAATGGATAAGAGCTCACCTTGTGCCAGCTTGTAGTCACACTTTGAAGCATCACGGTGTCGGACTGTGGTCCACACAGTAACTACGTGACAACATGAACTCGTGCTGCTGGCAGACCTAAGTGGCCGGGCGTATTCATCTGTAATTCTTGATTTCATTCAGGAATCATTCAAGTGTGACTGAAACTGTAGATCTGCTGGCTGCAGACATACAGGCCGCAGGCGTCATCTTCATTTCCTGGACGTGAAGTCCCAAAGACGATGCTCTCGGTTGGATTTCTGAGTTTTGTACATAACTGAGTATGGAGTCGATTCAAAGATGTTCACGAACACATTTTCTCTCCATCTGCATGAATGCATTGATGGCGTGGAACATAGCTGGCAGTGCGCTCCATGTTTGTGTCCAGTATGAAGGAAGCACCGTACACCCCATGGCGTACTGGTTCCAGTTAGAGTGGTGATGTGTAGACAGAGAAACGCTGTGGGGTTAGGGTACGTCACCACTCGTCACTTTGACGTGCTTTTGAGTTTCTCTGAGGTTTTTTCATTTGAATGAAGATTTCTTCTTCATGGACATGTTTCTGATTAATGGGGGGAAATGTATGTATTTGAGTAATGCCTGTGTATTTGTGCCCTGGACTAAATTGACATATCCAAACCGTATTAGCTCGTATGTTACTCTGTCACCAAAGTTTGGTTGATGGGCCACAGCAAACTGACAGATGGGAAAGTGTTCCCACACAGAATCTACTAAACAAGCGTTGAGTCTTGTTTAAACTGCTGTTTCCAAGGTCAGTAACGATGGTTCATGCTCAGCACTGTGGCTTCTGTTGTAAATGAGAGGTATGTCGTTTCATATTTCTTGTAGCTGGATATGAATTGTTTTTCGTTTGGTTGGAGTCTTTTTTAAACTCTGGTATCAAGCAGTTTCAGCACAGACAAGTCTGCTTCATGTTTGTTGCTTTCACCACTTCCACGAGCGTCAGCCACACCTGCCCTGAAGGTGAATAGATGGGATTTAGTGCGATAGCGTCAGCACGTTCTTGTATGGTTTGACTCCGTGTAGCTGTGTGCATGCCCTGCCTGCAGGGCGCTGACAGCCATAAACAAATCTCATTTCATCCAGTGAACCTGTCTGGACACCTGATCCCTTTGAAGAGCTACTGGGCTGCGCACTCTACAGAAAATGTGAATTTCACAGAAATTGAGTCGTCACTTCCCTTCCACCACATAGGGTAGCATTTCCACACACGTGTGGTGACTCGCCTGATGCCTGTATAACCCAATAGTGTTATAATTTACCTCACTGTTCTTCTTTGAGCTCCAGAATTCTGAGAATAATGACAGAAAGTGCCCGTCTCCTTTGTGAGTGAGCAGAGATGAACACCAGTGGAAACCATATTTCTGTAGGTCGTGTGAAACGTGGAGCTGAGTTCTGAATGTTCCCAACCTTTATGGAAGTTTGCTCTTTGGATCTTGTGAATGTTTGTGGTTTTACAAGAGATGTTAGCAAGCCGCTCTTTTTTATTAGCACTTTTTGTAAATGGGATGCGTTTATTTCCTGCAGCATCGAGTCTTTTATTACAAATGTATAGATTCTATATTTAGCTCTTTTAGAGAACAATAACATGTAAATACAATATAAATGTTTTATTTTTGCAGGTACAATTTTTGACAGTGTTTTTCCTATAAAGTGTCATTTTTGCTTTACTTGCACAATTGCTCTGTGTTTCTCATTGAGGCCTCTTGCTTTGCAGCTTTGACTTAATTGTCTCCTTTGACCGTTCGTACGCTGCTTTACGTCAGAGTGTACCGTGGTGAAGCTGAAACGAAGCTACTTAACAATATCACTGTGTCACAGAGTTTAGATGTTCCAAAAATAAGATGTTCCAATAACTCCATGAGTGTGTCCTCTTCTGTCATTTTTACACCTCGGTGTGGTACATTACTTGATTTCCTCGTGGTCTCTGTCTGAAAGCTGCAGCTATGTGATGTAAAACTCTTATGGACTGTACGACAGATTCCAGGTACAGAGAAGCAATAACAGTGGATCAAAGCTGATTACAAGTATTTTAGCGTGTGTGTGTGTGTGCACGCATGCATGTGTGTGTGCTCGCGTGCATGTGTGCGCGTGTGTGCGCGTGTGCACGCATGCATGTGTGTGCGTGGTCCTGGCACGTGCTGAGGCAGGAGATGCTCTTCAATGAGAGGCACAGACCAATTCAAACTTCTTTATAAGCTTCAATGGTACCAGTGAACTTTATTGAATGTTATGAAAAAACACTGCAATATATTTTGGTATTGGATCAAGCTGCTAACATACTTCTAAAGCTCCTTAAGGTGCTACAGACCTCCTCACTTTCTCTTCAGATGTATCGTTTGTACAAAGTATCCCGTGTAGCTGAACAGTTGGCATGTGTGTGCCTAGTCGTACTTTATAGCTTCATATATTTTCTTGTACTGTGACTTTTGTAGTCTTTGCCTTTAATATAGCCCCCCCACCCACCCGCCCGCACTCACCTGCGTGTGAGCGTCCACAGACTGAGTTGTGTTGGGAGGTTACGCTGATGCTGGGAAACTGATAGCAGTGAGCTGCATCCAGCCACATTTAAAAACAGCATCCTGTGACGATGATCGACTCGTTGCAAATTCTTAATGTTCTTCATATTTTACTTTTTTTTACTTTTACATTTATCTTACAAACTACTGTTGTATTTTTATAGGCAAAGTATCACCTAAACACACAAATACATATACAGCTCACACTTGTCTGTGTGTGTTTATAGGTTGTGTAAAATAAATGTTAATGCTGCAGCTTTGACATCATCCAAAGAAGCAGATTATTTATTGCCTGGCAGAATAACCTGATTTCATTCACATATGTTGCTGCTATAATAGAAGAGCTGCAGTTGACAACTCCGATGTTTTATTCAATGTAATAAAAGAAATCAAACAGAGAAGAATCCAGCTCGTCTGTTTTCAACCTGTCACTCTGAGAACTTTGTTACAGTGACACACAGTGACACACAGTGACACACAGTAACTCACAGTGACACACAGT